TCTTCTCAGCATAAATGTAATAGTGCTTTACAGCTAACTATACAGATTTGCAGTTGAGACTATTATGACTTTGTTAATTTTTCGTTGTTAAGGGATGAAAGGTTCTGTAGATTAGTTATTTACACTAACTCGTCCGGTATATATGTATATTGCTAATCACTAATTCTAACTGCTGACTTTCTACATCTTGTTCTTGAAATTGCAATTTGAAACAGAAATTTTACGTGTTTCCACACTATTGGAGAACGCCTCCCTTTTAAACCAAAGTGGCTTTGAACATGGTAGTCCACTAACATTGGGAGGATTATATTCAAATGGAGCAGCAACTGATATGAATGGATGGACATCAGCATTTCAATCAGAAGTATGGATACTGACCATTTAACATAACTTACTCTTACATGTCTAATTACCATCTTTGAGAGCTTAGATCAGGTTTTTCTAACTGACATTGACACTAGCAGACCTGGTTACGTTCTTGGTACCACTTGGTCCTTATGCTAATTTATTATTCCTGAAATCTTAATCTTTCAAGCTGCTTTTTGCACTGCTAAAGATAATGCTCTTGATACTGCTTGATCCTTATGCCAACTTTGCTAACTTTATTATCCCTTCCAGGCAGAGGGTTCAAAAGATGCCATTAAACTCCTCTCTGTATCGCAACTGTTGGATTTTGGAACTTCAGATAACATGCTAACACTCTAACTCACTAATCCGGCACCGTATGTCAGAAGTCTAACCAGTATGCTACTTAATTGACATGCTAACGTCAGTCTGCTAGTTGGTCACGATGCTACTTATTACTACACATTTTCCTTGCTACCTTAAGATGAGTTGGGATGATTATCACACAATATTTGAGACTATCTGAACTGTTAAATAGTGTTGACTTTGTAGATCTTTATGATATCGGCAAAACGAACTGTGGTAACTGTTAATTGTGAAGTATAATCCTGTCACTATTTCTGATTGCTCATAAGTCATGTTTGTTTGACTAGTTCTTTACATTTGGCTTGAATTTTGGAACTTTTCAAGTGCTTACTGCAAAAGCTACTCCTGTCGCTCCATATCCATTGTTCTAAATAATCGAGCTGTAACCATTGCAGAGTTCATCAGCTTATAGTTGGCTTGGAGGTTCTCAAGGCAGCTCATCTGGACTAATTGTCAAGAAAACAATGAGGGTTGATATTCCAGTAGACAAATATCCAACAGTAAGTGTGCTATTACTATGTTATTACACTTTGAATTGTTGTGGGAGTTGTGTCATGATGCTTTTTGTTTATTTTTCTAGTACAACTTCGTTGGTCGCATCCTTGGTCCCAGAGGAAATTCCTTGAAGCGAGTGGAGGCAACTACTGACTGCCGTGTGCTTATAAGAGGCCGGGGTAGCATTAAAGATCCAGCTCGGGTAAAACTCTTGATACCATGCTTTCATAATCTCCCCAGTTAGATATATTGGCAAATCTGGAGCATTGTTTCAAGCAAATTTGTACTATAAGCATGTTTAGGGAGAGCTATATCATTTTCACCTTCCCTATTACCCCATGCTATAAATGGAACCTGGGTTTTAGTTTTTATGGCAACCCCACTCCTATCTCTTGTTATCTATACTGGCTGTTTTTCAGTTTTCTCCCCAGCGTTTCTTATTGTTAATTTTTACTCCCTCCGTCCCAAAATAAGTGACTCAACTTTGTACTAACTTTAGTACAAAGTTAGTATAAAGTTGAGTCACTTATTTTGGGACAGAGGGAGTATTTTATGTTATTTCTGAGCTTAAATATTTCTGTAAGAGTGAATTATCACCAAAGAATTGCTTGGTTCTGGTGGAAAAAACTTGTACTTGTTTTCGGCCTGTTTCCAGTGGTAACCATATGTCATTCAAGTGTTATTTTTCTCCCTTTCTGCATGCTTGTGTTTGTTTTGTACTTCAGTCGACTTCACCTTGTAGTTTGTGGTAATGCTTTGTAGGAGGAAATGATGCGTGGAAAGCCAGGATATGAACATCTGAATGAACCCCTACATATATTGGTTGAGGCAGAGCTGCCTGTTGAAATTATTGATGCTCGTCTGATGCAAGCCCGCGAGATCCTTGAGGATCTGTTAAGGCCAATGGTATGTATTTATATTGATATCTCCTCCATTTGTCTTCTGGTTCTGCAGAATCAGTGCCTCAAAGTTCTTGTATTCTATTATCTACAAGCAGGACGAGTCTCAGGACTTCTTCAAGAAGCAGCAGCTCCGGGAGCTTGCAATGCTCAACGGCACCCTCCGCGAGGAAGGGATGCAAAGATCTGGTTCCGCATCCCCTTTCCACAACAGCCTTGGAATGAAGAGGGCCAAGACAAGGGGGTAAAAGGCCATGAGTACCATGGGAGAAGCAATCATCTGTCCTGAGACGGAAACTGAGTATGCCTATGGGTTTGCCTTCGTGGCTAATGGCGCAAAAATGGTCTGGTCTCAGCACCGATAGCGTCGGAGCAGCCCGTACTTGATAATACATATGCCTGGAGTCGTGTTCGCTGCTACTGGAGAGGTTTGGTTATGGCAAGACTGGGTGTCTGACTGTCGAGCTATATATCGGGTTGTGCAAGAAGTGGTTTGTGTATTGCTATGAGCTATGACTGGGGCTTTGATTTAAGGTTCTTGTGCTTGTATTTGAACTTTTGAAGAATGTTATCTGGTTATGTTATTTGGGATTGAAATGATGTTGTAATTTGTTGCAGTTATAGTATTGCTTAATAATAGATGGATATTGTAATATATAGGTTCGGGTATTTTCGGGTATTTGCATTATTCCGTGCAACATCCTTTGTGACGTTGTGAAGGTTTGGACGTATTAATCTATAGTTTAACTCTTAAGTATATCTTTCTTTTCTGAAATGGGGACAAAACAGTTGCCTCATCTAGTAACTACTCCCACTGTCCCACAATATAAGAGCATTTTGCACGGGATGAAGAGAGCGTTTTGGTATGTTCAATATGAAATGCGGCGTGATTCATGACGGCATTCTTTGCTTGACTGTAACATGGTGAAATGCGTCTGGTCACTATGTGAGGATGATGCAGTTTTACGAATTTATGTTGATGACACGCTGAGCCCAAAGCTTTGGTTATTCTCCTTATGCAACACCCTTGTCATTGAGGTCTCGTCACTCTGTGCTATCTGGCATGCGAGGCGCTGAGCAATCCACGAAAACGAATTCCAAATCCCCCTGTCGACGCATCTATTTATAAACCGTCACTTGAAAGAGATAAAAGATGAGCAGCAGGAGCGCTGAGCAATCCACGAAAACGAATTCCAAATCCCCTTGTCGGCGCATCTATTTATAAACTACCACTTGAAAGAGATAAAAGATGAGCTGCAGGAGAATGTACAAAGGAGGGCCACACTGGATCCCTCCCCGAATGGAACCCATAAAATGAATCTGATGCAACGGTGTCACCTACAATATCCAGAGGAGCTGTTGGCGCGATTTGTCGTGATGATCATGGTGTTTTTGAAGGAGCCTCGGCAGTTGTTATTGAAGGGATCACTGACCCTGAAATCTTGGAAGCATTTGCGTGTAGCGAGGCTACTAATCTCCATCCTCGCTTCCTTCCACACTCATCCGAGAGCTAGAGGTGGCATCAAATTCAGGTGGTCATTGCATGATCCTGAGAGAGATCAAGGCCTTGTTTGTTTGGACTTTTGCTTCTGCTTTTGCAGATTTTCTACTTTGGCAAAAAAGCCAAAAAAGAACTCCTAAATTGGTGCCTTTTGCTTCGGCTTTTGACTTATACCATCATATAACAATATTGATTCATAAGTCAAAAGATGAAGCAAAAAACCCTATTTATGAGCTTTTGTGCCTTTTTTTGCCAAAGCGAAAAAGCTATAAAAACAAAAACAAAAGCCCAAACAAACAGGGCTTAAGAAGCGTCTTTTTTTAAAAAGAATTGGCTTGTGATTTAGTGATGAACATTTTTAAAAAATGGCTTGTGATTTTAGCGATGAACGACGTGCATGTAATACCAAGAATATCGAAGCTCATAGGTTAGCTATAGGATGGCAACGACTCTTGATGTTGGCCATCGTGTATGGTTCTCGAATCCACAAAGGACGCCTTTTATCTAAAAAGAAAAACGCAATTCCAACCAAAAACTTACAGCGTTCTCAGCTCACAGTACACAGATCAAAGCAGTTTTTTCGCTGAACCTTTTTTTTGGCAGGGTTTTTCGCCGAACCTTAGCCTAGCCTTCTCTGCCTAAGTGAGATAGGAAGTGGAACTATATATTGCAGTGCTAGTTGTTAATCAAGACATGGCAAATAGCTTACGATTTGCCCCTTGACTGCACATAACTTAGTTGATTAATGTACTTGCAGTAGGTTCATCTCATATTGATTTCTTAAAAAGAAGATTTAATCAATCTTAATTTGCGATGAGTTAGACTAGTCCACAATCTGTGCGTGTTGTGATGAATACCAAATACAATCCTCAAAAGGAAAAGAGACTCCGTGCAGATGCTGACATATAACATATACAGCCGTGCAAATGCGCATGTATGCTTAGCATATTTCATCCGCCCACCAGCGACGAAACAAAAGAATGGTAAAGAGAAAAGAGTGTTGTTGTTGCATATTTTATCCACTCTCATGGGCTTCTTTGAAAGATAATTGGGTTGTTGTCGCACCTATTTTTCTGAGCAACTTCATAAAGCAATGCTTGAGGTCACACTTACGTGTATCTTTTGGCAATACTGTTACTGAATGATATGATCCAATAATCTGATTAATTTTCATTTCAGTGATAGAAAATGCTGGCAGTAAGCAGCCTGATTAACCAACACTAGCAGAATTACTTATGAAGTACTAGCTCATAGTAGGCACTTGGAAACAAAGTTGTATAATTAACATCCAAGTTCAAAGCATAAATGAAGTGCGAGTTAGCAGGTACACCACCACCACCACCATTGTCACCATATCTCGGTTATGAATCTAGGTGGTTGACTTCACCAGCCAGCTAGTGAGCTTCAGCCCAAACTTCATTCACCGGCACCTGCAGTCCAACACCAATTCCACTTGTGTGAATTGCGTGAATTCATGCCACATGAAAACAAACCGCCACTACCGAAAATTTATCATTCAAAAAATGCAAATGAATCGGTGTGCAGTTCAGCAAAATGTTTGGCAAATATGCAAGCCTAGTTTCCACACTCTATTGCTACTAAAAAAAAGAAGTCCCACCTCCCATGTACCACATCCTGAGTTGAAGTTAATTTTTGCCACCATATTAATAGCCATGTGTTATTTATCGACATTGACATAAGCAACCATTTATAATTAGCAATGTCAATAATTTTGTCTAAGAGAGGCACCTCGAGCAGCTTTGGAATAATCTTACTCACCCTACCAAGATCGGTACAAAATAAAATATCACATTCGACATTACATTTATACTTGCAAATATACAAACATATTGGTAAGTCCAAGTCCTACTGACAGCAGCATACTTTGTTCTTTCAATATTGTATTATTCAGCTATAGTTTAGAATGAATTTTTTTTGCAGTGTGACATTCTGCTGTTAACTGTAATATTTGCTAATAGAAGCAGGGACAAAAACCAGCATCTTACCATACTTGCTTCCCCAAAAGTCCCAGTAGTACGTTGCCTTTTTGAATCCAAATATTCATCAATAGTTGCCAATTCTGCCCGTGGATTCTTTCTGGGATTGAAACCACCGCAGGCACCTTCTTGACTCTTTTCTGGGCCTGTCCAAGAATCAGTGCTCATGAGGATTATTGGGTTGACTACAGTCAAAGCATAATATCTAGTGTTCTCTAACAGTGAATATCACATTGACCAAAGGTGCACACAGGGGCTTGTGCACATTTCAAAAAGAGGCTGCACCAACTTAAATTCAACTACTCCCTCTGTTCACTTTTATAAGGCGCTCTAAACATTTCAGACAGCTCGTAAAACAGCTCATTTTCAGTTGTCTGAAACGACTTATAAAAGTGAACGGAGGGAGTAGTTTCTTCTCAAGCCAAGGATTTTTCAGCAGAACCTATATATGGTGCATCTCATGTTTGCAGTATGCAAAGCTTGGTAGCTCCTGAATGCAAACGCAACCCAAAAAGTACCATGAGACAGAAAATAAATAAAGAACAAAAACAGGTAACAAATGGACGATTCACCGACTCAAGAATAATGTCCAAATTCTAATTTTTAACAAGTATTTTCACGTAGAAAGTTAGGAGAGACGTGGTAAAAAGAAATCAGAAAGAAGCGGGGCCAGTCATGAACTGGATTAATGAAACTGAAACCTCACGTACCATTGTCAGTAATACATATATATATCCACTTACCTATACTATTTGGTGTTCTTTCCCAATTAAGATAATAGGGACAGATCAAGCCGATAGAATTTCTTCTTGGTATCAAAATGATTTGAGGGGTTCAATTAATCTACCTGGACTTGTCACTGATGAGATACCATAGTTTTCAGCGTCTCTTGTCATGTTCAGAGTCTGGCACACTGAAGAAACAGGAGCACCTGCAAGGACTGGTATTTAGATATGGTGACAGGTATCAGTAACTGATGGAGTGCAAAGAGCACCATCAAAGCCTACCGAGGCCATCGAGTATTAGTAACAATGGTGCATACAGTCCCTTGATGCATAATTTGGTTATCTCTGGTAAACAAACATTTGGAGGTAAAATGATACAGAACAACAATAAACAACAAAATAACAAGCCAACAAGCAAAAAAAAAGGTTTCCAACTGTATAATTCTAAGATAAATTCTACAACTATGGAAAATAACATGCATAGAAACCAAACAATAAAGATTGCAATATAATGAAGCATAGCAAGGAGCCAAGGAATTACAACAAGTAATAACTATAGATACCGAATTTGGAAAAGAGCCATCTGACACATTAAAATCGTAAAAGTCTCCATGTTTTAACTACATCAAGTAATATTGTCAATGATTTATCTAGCCCAATCACTCATGCATTTGCCATTCTCTAACAATGAAAAAGATTAGGATAATTATGTAGATGGAGATTTTCCCTAGTTTAGAAGAAATTGAGGTCGTCCAACTTATTTCACCTGCATTTGTCAATGACGAGGTACCAGAACTTTTAGCAGGACTTATCAGTGAAACTGGAGCAACAGGAGCACCTGCAGCACAGCAGACAGTTGGAATAGCAGCAAGTAGCAAAACACAGACTAAGCAAAAGGAAGGCACCATTTCTCGTGGGAAGTGCAACCATGAAATATCATGCAAATAAAATAGCCATAGAATGTGAAGCAACCAATAGAAGAAAGAAAGAACTGAAAAATTAAGGGAAATATGTTTCCATTGAAGATGTTCAGAGATAAATAAGGGAAAACAATGTGCACTACAACCAGACGCTAAGGGGTGGAACAGAATGTAGCGGCACAAGGTATTGTAGGCCAACAGGCTGTGATGTGCTCGCATTTGGACGTTTGCCTACATTATTTAGAGAAAACTTCTACAAATAGGGGCAAACAATGCCCTTAAGACCGAAACGGAAGACTTCCAATAAAATGTAGGATGGCCGAGGTATTTACTGATTCATAGACCACATCACAGGAATGATTAAAGCATAAATCAAGTGAAACAAAACAAACTTGGCAAATATTAAAACCACAGCAGTAAAAACTAGAGAGAAACATAAGCGGATAGTAAACCAAAACGGTGGCAAATGACATAGGTAGAGAGCAAAACAAGAGTGAGAGGTTACCTTCCTTCATAATTTGTTGGAGCAGGGAAGTCGCTTTACCTGAACCAGCTCGTAAGCTTTCATCTGAAGATAACACAAGTTCATCAGTCGCCACACACATACGACATACACATGAAATACCAAAAGGTGGTTACTTTTCTAAAACAACAGGGCAGCAGAGTAGAAACAAACCCATGATAGTCGCAAACCATTCCTTTGCATTCTCAATGAATTCTACGCATTAATAAGAAAGAAAAAAGATTCATGGTTATTCAGTGATAGGTATGTACAGAGTACACAAGTCTGCAAAGGAGATATTCGTTAGTTATACCGAAACTTGAGTTGGCTAGAGATCTTGTGTAACGCTGACTGCAAAGAAGCAAGAAACATCAATGAGATGAGCGGACCAGAGAAGATGCTATTAGCCCAGCAAATAAGATTGTGTATGTTGTTTTACCTCCCCCTGAAAAGGATGGCCCTGGCAACAGCAGCTGGTTGTAGATGGGGACGCTGTTCCTTCACGCGCCGCCGCCTGCACAATCTAGCAAAAATCACAGATTATAGTGTGCACATTGAGCAGCAAATAACTAGCATAGGCTTGAGATCAGATGAATTACCCAGAGGCAACGTCAATGGGAAGCACTTGGTGCGGCTTGGTGTAGCAAGTCGGCAATGTGAGCGGCCTGTTGAGCTCTGGGGTCCTCGAAGCTAACCTGGAGAGGATGTACGCAGCCTCCCTCCTCACTCCATCCCAGTCCATGGACGCCCTAACCAGCATATAGGGTGATTCACATTCTTGAAACAAGAAAACTCATACGATGAACCCTCCATGAATTCAACGGAATGAGCAACGCGTGCAAGTTAGAGGCCGTAGGGAGAGATACCGGAGCTGCTCCGACGAGAGCAGGGCTTGGGCCATGACACGAGGAAATGTGTGGTTCGCTTTCGTTTTCCAGGCATCAACGACGTGTTGCATCCAATGGTGGGCCCGGAGCTTGTCCATGGCGGACTCATCCCCGGCGGCGATGCTGGCCAAGTAGTGGTGCATCAAGAGGAAGTTGCGGAAGGCGTGGGCGTGGAGGCTCCTGGGGCCGGCAGGCAGGAAGCCATCAAGGTAGTCGATGGCATCCTCCCACAGGCCCTTCCTCACGAGCCCCTGCAGACGCTCCAAGCAGAAGGGCTCACTCGCCTGTAGCATCAGCCTGCAATAAACCTAGATCAATTCCGCAAACAAGTAGACAGCCCTGGGCTGGTTCCTGTGCTGAATTGGGGAAGGGGAAGGAAGGGGACGTACCCGTTGAAGGCGACATCGTAGCGCTGGCGCGAGAGGAAGGCGAGGAGTCGCCGGTGGCGAAACCGCGACAAGCAGGGGTTCTCCGCTTCGTCGGGGAGCTCGGCCGTCGTCGTCACGCCGGGGCAGGGTTGGGATTCGGGGTCGAGGTCTAGGGATCTGGGGACTGGGGAGGGGTCGAGGTCGAGGTCTAGGTCTAGGGATTTGGGGGCTTGGGAGCACATCCTTCCTCAACGCGGGCGGATTCGACTTGTTGGGGGAGGAGGGGGATCGAGGTCGTATAGGAATTGCAACTGCAGACTCGGTTTGTTTTTGGAAGATGAGATGAGGGGATTCGAGGGACATCCTCTTTCCTTCGCGTATCGGCCACGACGGGGGCTGGGCCCCTCTTTCTTTCTTTTCCCCCCTTTGTTTTTTATTTTATTACTATATCCTTTTTTAGGGTTTTCTATTCTAATTAGTTGCATGCAAATTAAGGACAGTAATAAAACTGAAATCTTTTCCTGCTCACGCCATCAGGCCGTTCGTTTTTGGATCTGACCGTTCCAGTGTGTAATTTGCGTCTCACTCTCGCCTCGACCGTCATACTTTTAGAGCATCTCCAATCTAGACTGTGGAAAGAAATGAAGGCTTCTCAGGGCATGTGTTTTCTGGCTGTCGGATAGCCTGTCCAAATGAATCCCGCACGTCAGATCTTCAGATAAAACAATCTGGGCCGTTGGATCAACTCTGATGCGACAAGCAATGAATAGTGCCCGTCGTTTTTCACTCGTTTTACAGTCCTATGTGTCTATGACCTACGGGGCCAGGCGAGGTGGGCCACTTTTGTCAGGGGCTGCGGGAGAGGGGGTGACTAGTGCTGGTTCTAATTAGTAGAGAGATCCTGCCTCCGCATGTAGTTTTGGAGGGCCGATGAGGGTAGTTTCGAGATTTCATATGCTCTCCCTCGTGTATCATCCTGTGGATGGCTGGGCTGCGTGTTAGGCCAAGGAGAACGACCGATTGGGTGAACCCTAGCCGCCACTCTCCCCCCCTTCTCAGCCCGTGCTATCTCCTTTCTTCCTCGCCTTCCCTCGCGCCGCCACCCACCGAGAAGCACCGCGGGCACTGCTGCTTGAGAACCCTAGCCGCCGCCCCCTCCCTTGGAGGAGGGGCTAGGGCCGGAGCCCCCTCCCCCTCACCCCTATATATATTGGGGAGGTGTTGGGGATATGATTATCAGATATGACCCGCCCAGGAGGGGCCGGGTCATCCACATGGCGGTTCATCTAAATGAAGCCCAAGAGTATATTAGAGATGGCGGTTCAATAGACAGGTTTGTTAAAAGGGCCCAAACCCGAAGGCGGCTTAAGGCCCGTAAGTGTAAACCGCCATGTATATGTAAACTTGTATTGTAAGGCATGTAAGATAAGTCACCGAGCCGGACACGTTTGTATCAGCCGGCCGGGACTCTATAGGCCGCAAGGCGTCAACCCATGTATATAAGGGGGCGACCCGGCAGCGGCTTAGGGAAAGAAACAACAGATCGAGAGCCACGAAAAGTGTATTTGCTCCCTGGTAATCGAAACCCTAGCAATACCACCTCAAACTGGACTAGGCCTTTACCTTCACTGCAAGGGGCCGAACCAGTATAAACTCCTCGTGTCCTTGTCCCGTTTAACCCCTTTAAGCTAACCTCGTCGCAATGGTTCCACAACTAAGTTCTTCCATGAGGACATCTGCCGTGACACTTCCACGACAGTTGGCGCCCACCGTGGGGCCAGCACATGGTGGTTTTGAGTTCTTGAAGGGCAGCTTCGAAGGGATCAAGGGATACGCTGTGGGCCGGATGACCAAGAGTCGTCGCGGCAAGCTCTACATCGACGACGCAGACTAGGGCCCCGAGGCCGGCTCAATTGAGTACGGGTACCGGGTACCCTTTGGCGGAATCCACGTCTTCATCGGCAAGATCGGCGAACCGGGCCCTGAGCCGGACATCTGCACCGACATCATCGAGACGGCTTAGCGTGCACGACCCGCCCGGGTTAAACCCGCCGTGAAGCATGCCTTTGTCGGATGTATCGATGCAGCTGAGTTTAAAGGCTCTATGTCTGGCGGTGAGACGGCCATCTACTCTGATGGTGAGTCGTCCACAGGCGAGACCGACTCAATGTATCAACTGCAAGACGGACGGCTCCGGGGCTGTTCCGATGGCGACAGTATTTCGGACCCCCATGAGCCGCCGAACAGGGTGGCGATTTTTCATGGCTGGCACGCAGCCGGTTCTCGGCTCGACAGCCGCCGTGGCCATGACTTCCAGCACAACAGCGGTGACGGCAGCGGGTGCTGGCGGTTCAGCGCGCCCGCCGGCTCAAGTTTTGTTGAAGTATATTGCCCGCTTCCCTCCATCAGTTCGGACTTTTGGATGAGTTGGCTGGAGCATGAATTCAATATGGTATTCGAGCCAAGAGGTCTTGAGTTCAAGACCCTGCCAACGTAGTATTAAATAAAATGATTATGCGGCCTACATTGATCCCACGTGAGGGAGTCCTGATTAGGGGGTGTCCGGATAGCCGGACTATACCTTCGGCCGGACTTCTGGACTATGAAGATACAAGATTGAAGACTTCGTCCCGTGTCCAGAAGGGACTTTCCTTGGCGTGGAAGGCAAGCTTGGCGATACGGATATGTAGATCTCCTACCATTGTAACCGACTCTGTGTAACCCTAGCCCTCTCCGGTGTCTATATAAATCGGAGGGTTTTAGTCCGTAGGACGAACAACAATCATACCATAGGCTAGCTTCTAGGGTTTAGCCTCCTCGATCTCGTGGTAGATCTACTCTTGTACTACCCATATCATCAATATTAATCAAGCAGGAGTAGGGTTTTACCTCCATCGAGAGGGCCCGAACCTGGGTAAAAACATCGTGTCCCTTATCTCCTGTTACCATCCATCTAGACGCACAGTTTGGGACCCCCTACCCGAGATCCGCCGGTTTTGACACCGACATTGGTGCTTTCATTGAGAGTTCCTTTGTGTCGTCACTTTTAGGCCCGATGGCTTCTCCGATCATCAACAACGACGCGGTCCAGGGTGAGATTTTTCACCCAGGACAGATCTTCGTATTCGGCGGCTTTGCACTGCGGGCCAATTCGCTTGGTCATCTGGAGCAGATTGAAAGCTACGCCCCTGGCCATCAGGTCAAATTTGGAAGTTTAAACTACACGGCGGACGACCGCGGAGACTTGATCTTCAACGGATCTGAGCCACAGCCGAGCGCGCCGCACTATCACGATGGGCATGATCTAGCTCTGCCGTCGAACAGTGCCCTGGAGGCCGCACCTGTGTCCGCTCTGACCCTTAGCTCGGAGCCGACCACACCAATCGAGGATGGGTGATTAGACACCGCCTCGGGGGCTACAATCTCTACGGCGATCAAGCTGAACACCAGCCTTGTCCTCTGCGAAGCCCATGACTCCAAGGTGCCGGACTCCTCTCCGGACTCCGAGCCCTTCGCGCCCCTACCGATCGAATCCGACCGGGCGCCGATCATGGAATTCACCACCGCAGACATCTTTCAGCACTCGCCCTTCGGTGACATTCTGAATTCACTCAGGTCTCTCTCTTTGTCAGGAGAGTCCTGGCCGGGCTATGATCGGCAGGATTGGGATGTGGACGACGAAGAAATTCGATCCCCACCCACCACCCACTTCGTAGCCACTGTCGATAATTTAAACAACGTGCTCGACTTCGACTCCGAAGACATCGACGGTATGGACGACGATGTAGGAGACGAACATGAACCTACGCCTATAAGGCACTGGACTGCCACCTCATCTCACGATGTATACATGGTGGACACACCCAAAGGAAGCGACGACGAGGAACACAGGGATGCAACGAGGAATCGTTCACTCGAAAAGCAATCAAAGCGGCGACGTAAGCGCCGCTCCAAGCCCCGCCTCGATAGAGACAGCAGCCATACAGACCCAGCCATAGAGCAGGACGAGCCGGTGGACGACGATCATGCCTTCGAGAAACCGTTCGAACAAGGCAACTTGGATAAACAAACCGAACAACCCGTCCCCGGCGAAAACAACATTTCGGACGACCTTACGTCGGATAAGCTCACGGAGCAGAAGAACCTCCACAAAAGGCTCGTCGCCACTGCGCGTAGCCTGAAAAAGCAGAAGCGGAAGCTCAAGACTGTGGAAGATGCACTCAGAATTAGATGGAGCAAAGTACTCAACACCGCAGACAAATATGGCGGCAGTCGCCGCACAAAAAGCTATCCGAAGCGAAAGCTACTGCCTGAATTTGACGAGGAGGCCTTAGAGCCCCTGCAGTCAAAAAATAAGAAAGCCACCCGGTCGGATAGACGACCGCACGGCCAGCATGGAGCGGCAAGCGGCGCCGCACACAAGCCGGCACGTGATCCACTCAAGGATTCACACCAAAAAGATGGCCCAGCCAGATCGATCTATGGGCCAAGAAAGCAAGCTCTAGTAAGCAATGCAACACAACAAATATCCGAACATCACGGCACACCCAAATACAGGGGTGCGCACACCCCTATGTTTCACCGATGAGGTTCTGGACCATGAATTTCCAGCGGGATTCAAGCCCGTAAACATAGAGGCGTACGACGGAACAACAGACCCTGGAGTCTAGATTGAGGATTATATCCTCCACATACACATGGCCAGAGGAGACGACCTCCACGCCATAAAATGCTTACCCCTCAAGCTCAAAGGCCCAGCCCGGCATTGGCTTAAAAGCCTTCCCGAAAATACCATTGGAAGTTGGGAAGAGCTCGAGGATGCTTTCCAGGCAAATTTTCAAGGGACCTATGTCTGCCCTCCGGATGCAGACGATCTCAGCCACATAACTCAACAGCCCGGAGAGTCAGCTCAGAAATTCTGGAACAGATTTCTTACTAAAAAGAATCAGATAGTCGACTATCCGGACGCCGAAGCCCTAGCAGCTTTTAAGCATAACGTTCGAGATGAATGGCTCGCCAGACACCACGGCCAAGAAAAGCCAAGAATAATGGCCACATTAACAAGCCTCATGACCCGCTTTTGCGCAGGAGAGGACAGTTGGTTGGCAAGATGTAGCACCAGCGACCCAAGTACATCCGAAGTTAGGGATGGAAACGGAAAACCCCGACACAACAAGGACCAGTGCCGGAATAAGGGAAACAACCCAAAGAGCACGACAGTCAACGTCAGATTCAAAATCTC